TCTACTCTTATTACTATTACTTTTTCATCACTGACCCCCCCCCCTATATTAACACAGTTGATCAGACTAGACTAGAAATGGAATATGAATTACTCCTACCTTTTCAAACACTCCAGCAAGATCTGATATGGTGAAGGCTGACCAGCTTTGACGCACAAGTCATTAATTCTAGGATCTTCAATCCGAATTTCATCAAAGAACTACACGACATGAACACAAGACAAACGTTGCTATAATTTTTACAATTTCATTGCCAAAGCAAGTTATTTATTCATATTTTTGATAAAACTATATAAATCATATTAATTTATCCTTTATTAATGTTCCATTAATGTACAAAAAAAATGGTTTACAAACACAACTAATATTATATTCATAAGTGTTACCTTTTGACGTGTTCTCATCCATTTTTGGTCAAGTAAATGTCTATGTCATCACTGTGTTTCAATGTTCTTCTCAGTTAAACTATACTACAATAAACATTTCATAACCACTTGCTGTAATTAAAACATTTTATGAAATGTTCAATTGCAGAAAATGGCTATAACATAAATGCAAATATAAGCTTTCAGTATTTTCATCAACATAAAAATTCATGTCCTGAAATTTTCAACGTGTCTTATATATATACTACCATACGATTGCAATATTTATTAGGTGAAGTATAACATTATATTTTAAAACAATGTCAAAATTAATCACGGTCAGACCACTTCCTTTACTTTTCCACAACACAATTACATTCAAAAGATTCTTGGGGTCACGGTCAACTCAAACTTATTTCTATACATCTTTTCACTAAAGTATTTTTCAGTACACGTGACTAATTACGTAACTGTATAGTAAAGCAGGGTACACGAACTTTGTTCACAACATTAATTAGGAATGTGATATAAGTGTTCCAAACAGACTGTGGTTATAAAAAAAAACACATTCATTTATAATCTTAGCAAACTCTGTTTTACAGTCACCAAAATACAATCTGAAAATATAATAGGCTTGTAACTGGGGGCCTTTAAAAAAGTCAAAAATATATTGTTAAAAATATGATGATAGACAGCTAGTAAAGATTAACGGCAACGTTTATTAGAAGTCGATATTGTCGGTGATTATTTTAACACGAAGATGAAAGACCAAACCCTCATATGTGGGTCGACGTGTAAGTCAGGGACCCAGTGCACCTGCAGCTTTGATGTTACAGTGTTCTTGCTAAAGTGTTGACATCACACAAAAGGTTGGGGAGAGACGACCCCAGAGGGCAATAAACATATATAATATCTTCCAGATCCACTTGGAATCAGGATCAATACGTAGCACGTCGTGCAACTTACACGTATTATTTTTATGGCAGTATTTTCAAAAAACACCAAGTGTCGAGAAGAAAACAGAGATAAAATATTCCTAAGTGGACAGTTCAGTTATACAAATACGAAAAGAAACAGCAATGCACTTTAACGACCTGAAACGGGTCTTCGTAGTATAAATGTTTAACTTTAGAAAGTTCCTTATTGATGAATAGTTAACAAATCATACTTGTACTGTTACATTTCTCAGTAACACACATAAATATGAACAACATATTTCGATGTATTCTCCAATTTCAGTGTAATTTATTTATTATGTGTTATATAATGTGCATGGGAGAAACTTGTTTCTCTTAGACGGCAAGCACTTCCTTACACTGTACGCTAACCAATCGCAAGTTCGCTAATAGCCACCTCTAATGTACATACTAATGACCAGTTTTATTGTCCATCTGTATGTAACCGTTCTTCTTCTTCTCCCTGTGAGTGACCTTGAGTGAAGCATAGCTGGTAGACTTGACAATATCTTAGGGTTAGTGAGATAACTAACTCACCGAAACAGCCGAGTTTCTTCAATATCTTCTCCCTGTGAGTGACCTTGAGTGAAGCGTAGCTGGTAGACTTGACAATATCTTAGGGTTAGTGAGATAACTAACTCACCGAAACAGCCGAGTTTCTTCAATATACTTTTCTTGTACAATATTTAGGGTTAACTTGTGTTTCCACAGATAATCTACATGTTCAAAGGATGTGGTAAAATTATGTTTATCGAACGTGGTGTCTGTTTGAAAACACTGATAACTGTTTTCACTTTGTGATAATTATTTATTATAGGTGCACGAGTGTTATGGTGAGTAAATTGTCAGTAAACTCAAACCACCTATCAGTGTTTTTACGTGAATATCTCAAAGGTTCCAGAGATATTCTGAAAAACGTGAGAAAAGTTTTAGATATACTCACAGTTTCCAATCATTCTCTGGTTTTTTTTTAACAAGTTTCATCGTGTCTAAAAAAACTGTGTAAACAGAATATATTACCCTGGACATTGAACAACTCCCACACCTCTTTGATTTGGTTGTCGTTACAGAGCAGGCTGAGTATCCACGCTAGTAAGTGGACAATGTAGCTATAACCTGCCTCAAGATATACGACCTGCTAATCTGTTGTACTAGTATACTATAGGGTATGTAACTGGTTTCACTAATACACTGGTGTCAATAAAGGAAACACCTATTTCAACAGAGGGACTTTACAGATGTAAAATAAGAGTTCCTTCTTATTTGTACAAAGTAAACTGTCACTCTTTACTTATTTACTTTGTGCAAAATTTCACACAAAACTAGGATTGAGGACAATGCCACCTATATAAAAAAACTGACTAACGTGCGACATTGTTTAGGTGTCATTGTACGTGAAAATGTCAATACCAAACTGGTTTCTCTTGTAGAAGTAATCTAAGTTGAATATGTTTTTACCTTTTCTTTTTTTCAAATTAAAAGGACAGCTCGTAGCACCAATTTCATGTTTTTAATGTAACTGGCCATCTTTTAGTTCGTTACCATTTCAGAAAATGAGATGTTTTAGTGGCAGAAGCAAAAATAAGACATTATAATGACTAACTGAAGTTATAATTTCCATTTATGCTGGGAACCATCAATAATTGAGCTGAACAGAGGGCTATAATAAAGTAATTACTATGGGGCAAACAAGGTAATGAATGAATATACAGGGTGCCCCAGAAGTCTGGACACATAGGCTAAATAGGCATGATATTGTTAAAGTTAAACAAACACATTTCTAATGTCAGTTGTATATATTTCGGGAAAGAAAATACCCCGAAGTCACAGAGTATACCAAGAATTGATATGTGTATGGCAGTTAATGGCATGTAATTTGAATAATAAATATATTAACAATACATTATATATATTTTCCTATGGGTCCAGACTTCTGGGACACTCTGTACATAAGAGTTATGGATAGTAAAAACTGAAAAGGTTAATCAGAGGGGAAAAAAGATATACATATATATGGGCATCCCCCCCTTCCACATTTCAACCTTAGTCCCAGCAAATTAGGGGTCGGAAATAATTGTTGTAAGCCAAGAGCAAGTTACACTCAGTTGGCTTATTGTAAGCCAAAAGCAAGTTTCACCCAGTTGGCTTGTTGTAAGCCAAAAGCAAGTTACACCCAGTTGGCTTGTTATAAGCCAAAAG